AGCATTAAAAACTTACAGAAGACGAGATGCTAACAAGAGATGCTAACTAGTTACATGCTAGGCTACATGACGGTGCGGCATTGTCTCCATGGTTACATTTTCTGCTTTAGAAAATTTTTACTTAGTTTTCAAAAAAAAAAAAAAGGTTTATTTAACAAATGTGAAAATATTTCAGTCATTTTCTTTCAAAACTTGTTATATTTGGCCAAGTTTAATAAATTAAATAAAAGCTGATTTATGCACAGCAACTTCGGCTCTTCAGTAAAAGTCCCCACATAAACATGGCTCTGCTTATTATTAAACATTTTCTATTGTCAGGAAATTATGCTGGTAATTTACCCTGATTAAAAATAAAAAAAGCAACTGAAACTGTGATGGACAGGACAAATTTGTGTCATTCGTGATTCGCAGTTGGGGGCCACACAAAGTCACTCCACGGTCCGCAAAAGGCCCCCGACCCGCACTTTGAGGCGTATTTATCCAATCTACTCCATCTGTAAATTAACAGCTGTTTTTCTTGTCATGAGAACTGATAGAGCAATGTGATTCTTATCTGAGCATTAACCCTGCAGGTTTCCCATTCGATCGACGCGACACGGCGTTCCTGCTGCTTCTTTCTTCTTTTTTTACCCACTGGGAGACAAATTGGGCTGATAAAGCTAAGTTCATTATGTGTTACTGACACGGCGGTCATGGGTCGGGTCTAATCTGAGTCCAGAGGAGCCCGGCCGCTTGGCCGCAGTGAGACCTGGCTCTGTTACAGCCCTTAATCAGATCTGAGGTTAATGTGCTGCCTCTCTCTGATAAAACCAGAGCAAGAGGGGAGAAAGCATCTCTTCAGCTCACCAGGAAAAAATGAAAAAAGCCCCCATCCCCGCTCCCAGGAGATCCAATACTTAGCCCACATGACTGAGCTGTGACTCAGAGAGAGAGAGAGCCATGCTGCAAAATAAATATCATTAACCCACAATTAAAATCCTGTTCTCTGTCCTGACATCCTTTATTGTTCTCATATCTCTGTCCAATTACAACATGCTGGAGTAATTATAGCTGCATTAAAAAGTAATGAAGTTATATGAGCAGGGCCGCCGTTTCCACAGGGCAATCTGACAGAAGGTACGCAGACGCAGGGACTCGATGAAACTCGGCTGCTCAGGAGACTGAAAGCCTCCACAGTTCAGCCGATTCGCCGCCGAGCCAACTGGGCGTCAGTTACACCTTCAGTGGTCACTGCGAATCTGTTGCCATGGAGATATGATCAAGTTAGACGTGGCCGCATCAGTAATGTTTAATAACCACAGAAGAAGATTAGAAGAAAAAGATCAGACTTTAACCTCAGATTTCGTACATTAAAAGTCAAAGTTTTGACTTTTTCCACTGCATTCTGACATTTTTCTGAGAATTCTGACTTCTTCAGAATCTTGATTTTTTCTCAGAATTCTCATTTTGTTCTCAGAATTTTGGCTTTAATATCAGAATTTTTACTTTAATCTCAACATCCACCTTTTTCTCAGATTTCTGACTTTTTCAGAATTTTGACTTTTTTCTCAGCCTTATTACTTTTTTCAGCATTTTTGCTTTAATCTGAGAATTCTGACTCTTTTCAAAATTCCAACTTTTTTTTCTCAGAATTTTGACTACTTTCTCAGAAGTTTATTTTTTCCAGAATTCCGACTTTTTTTCCCTGAGTTCTGACTTTTTCAGAATTTTCACTTTAATCCGAGAATTTTTACTTTTTCTCAGAATTCTCACTTTTTACTCAGAATTTTGACTTAAATATCAGAATTTTGACTTTAATCTCAAACTTGACTTTTCCCTCAGAGTTCTGACTTTTTCAGCATTTTTACTTTAATCTGAGTATTCTGACTTTTTTCAGAACTCCAACTTTTTTTCTCAGAATTGTGACTTTATTCTCAAAATTAACTTTTTCCCAGAATTCTGAGTCCTAATCCTCTTCTGTAACTAGCGACGCTGTCCATGCGCTTAGATCAAATCCATCTCTGTAAGAGTGTCTGAATATTTATGTTGATTATTTAGTAAACACTAGTTTTTGTGTGATAGAGCCAGCGATAAATTGCAGGGGTCAGGCTGTTAAACCAGAGGGTCAGACGTGAGAGCGAAGCAATTTGAGGTTGGAAATGAGGGATGTCCTTCCTCATTTCAGAGCCACAGAGGCCATCAAACGTCAACTCTCATGTGTCAACGCGCCCAGTGACTTACAGCGCCTCTTTGTTGTGTTTGTCTCTCAGTACGTTCAGGACTAAAGGACAAGAGAGCAAAAAAAAAAAAATCTAGGAGCCATTCACTTGAAGGAAAGTCCAACAAATGAAAAGAAACTGAGAGAAAAGGAAAGGAGGGAGTAAACAATAAACAGAGTTTAGAAACTAGTTCACACCGAGCCGCTCCACACATGGATGAAGATTTGACACTGAAGCACTCCGAGGGGAAACTTCACCGTCCTCTGAATGAAAATGTGTCAGAAAGAAAACTGATTCCAGAAGGAGGAAATCATAGAAGAACTGAAAAGACAGAAATGTTTGACTTCTAAAACTCCAAAATTTCCACACTTTCCAGATCATTCTCAAAATTTCTGAGTATTTTGGCCTGAATTTTTTTCTATTGAAAATGGACGTAATGATGCGTTCACACCAAATGCATTTCATGAGTCAAGAACGCATCCGACGTTTCAAGTGTGCACTCTGAAGTCAGACGCTTGATATTCTGCTCTGGGTGGGCGTAGAGATTAGACTCCTTGGCCCACTGTCTCCTGCATGTTTCATCTAAATAAATATGTTTATTTAACGTGGCTTAATGATTGTGCTGGACGGATTTGGATAGCTCAAATGTGGGGGAAATATAGTAAAAGTTATAAGTTACCCGACATTCCAGCTTCCTTGCTGATCCTCTTCCAAGCGCGGTCCTTTCTATTCCTGTCTCTGTAGTCATAACTTTATTGGTCGAGAGCAAACAGCGACAATTAGTTGATTTTTTATTCTTTCTGGGATCACATTGGAAAATGCTCCACCACGTGCTGGTTGACGCGCCACGTCGATCGTTGAGAGTTTAGATTTTTCAGCCCCAGCGTCGGACGCATTGGACGCACATCAAACGCTCGAAACGCTTCAAATCGTGCAACACTTGACGCATCCTCAACGCGCCTCCACATAGACTCTGAATGTAAACCAGGCATGCCATAATAAAACGTCGTACAAACCCCTTTGTTTTGTAGGGATTTATGCATTTTGCATTTCAGGGATTCTGCAGTCGTAATATGAAGACATGACAGAAATGTTGTCGGCACATTTAAACCTTAGAAATGAGCACAAACAGATCTCATTTGTCCCTATTTTGAACTTTGTATCAAAGCCTAATTTGTGGCAGATGTTTGTGAGTTTTAACGTGCAGTAAGTGCAAATTGGTTTTGATTCGGACGCTGCTCTCTGCTAACGGCTACAGTGTGCTGCTATCACGGCGGATTTGAAATGGCTTCACAGAGGTAATAAATAAGAGAATGTCAGGTTTGTTTGTCATATTTGTCCAGCACACCTAGCAGAATCTTTTATTACTGAAGGTTGTTTGGGATGGAGCAAGAATGATGCCTGGCTAACAACACCGCAGTGCAACACCACATAGGACGTGCAGTAATGGCAGCACAGATGACTGGGATTGGCTACACAGGTCAACAACAATGAATTCCTTGGTAAGCATCAATCATGCTGCCAAGCCTCTTGGGGCTTTGATCGAGTAGTTGTGTGTTGTTGCTGAGAGGCTAGCTGGGGATGTAGGTTGGCGGGGAACTGATAATGGGCTTCAGTGAATCACAAGAGATGAACCCCTGTTGAGAGATGCAAGAGGGGAGGAAAAGAAGGATGGAAGAGAGAGAGAGAGAGAGACGGAGAGAGAAAGCAGCGGGGCAAAGAAGGAAGCAAAAAAAGGACGACAGAGCCTGGATGAGGAGGGAAACTCAGCCTGTACCCTTTCTTCCTCGTCCCCTGCTGGATGACCAACACGCAGACAGCCAGGCACCATGACGGACATTCTCCTCATCTAATGAGTCCCAGTCACAGCTGAACACACCACTGTGCTTTACGGCGCCAACAGAAGGGCCTGCCACCATGAAAAAACCCGGCGCCTGCAACTTAAACAAACAGGAAAAACACACAGGGTTAAATGAAGCCCTCTTCTCTCTAATGACGGTTCTACATCTTTGAGGACGATTTTTTCACTGACACGTTCCAACCAAACCCACTATTTAGCATTCACTGTTCGAGCACACACTGCAAAAACAAGGAAATCTTACCAAGTGCTGCTGTTTAGTTTCCATCACAAATATCTTAATGCACTTACAAGCAACATTTCAGCAGGATATGCCAGCTTGTTTTCAGTCTGCAACTCATACATACTGATAAAAGTATTCGTTCCACTCTGACCTGAACCTTCAGAGTCACATAAACGGTTACAAAGCTGGCCTTCTATCACCTGAAGAACATTTCCAGTGAGATCTAGAGAAACTCATCCATGCGTTTATCGTTAGTCGCATTGATTACTGCAACAGTGCAGCTGATCCAGAACGCTGCTGCTGGCGTTCTGACTAAAACCAGGCAGACGGAGAACATCAACCAGTCCGAACACTGGCTCCGTGTAGATCAGAGAATAGACTTTCTGCTTCCCCAGAACCAGAACCAACATGGAAAAGCAGCATTAAGCCTCAAATCTGGAACAAACTTCCAGAAAACTGCAAACTGCCGAAACACTGAGATCCTTCAAATTAAGACTAAAACCCACCAGTTTGATTGGTAAAAACTGGAGCTTTGATCAACATATTTGATGTGTATTGATGTTGTTTATTGGTTGTTTTCATATTTGGTGACTCTAATGTGTTTATGATGCTCGTTAAACTCCCTTAGCAACAAGGCATGTTGGAAGTAATTAACTACATTTACTCAAGTACTAATAGGAGTATTTTTACTGTGCTGTACTTTTTACTTTTACTTTATTATGACATATTTCTACTCTTACTTGAGTAAAATTTCTGGATTTTCAACCCACTAAATGAAAAACATGTTTTAACCAAAAATCCAGCAGACTCAGACACACACCTGCAGTTTTTGTTAAAGTGTCATAAGAAAGAAACTGAATTGGAAAAAAATATTTCGCCTGATTTTGATATTTTTTGCTACTTATATGAATACTGTCATTTTGGTTCATAAAATACCAAAATTTCCACTTAACTTTAAATTTTCTTCCTTTTGATGATTTAATTTTTTAATATTAAATGATTGATAATTTGATCAGCTACTCAGTAAACTTTTTACCAAATACTTTTTTTTTCTTTTGTGTACTTTCTCGGACAGCTACATTTTACTTTTACTTGAGTAAAAATATGTGGAAGTAGAGCTAGTTTTACTTGAGTTTAACTGTGGTGTACTCTACCTAGGTAAATTTAACTCGGCTCTCTGTCAGGTTGCAACCTGAACTCTTTGCCAGCTGGTTTTACTTCTTACTTATAAAACTAGAACCAAATATCTACAGCAGATAGCAGCGTGTCACACCGCCGGGCTCCTCATGAGGTAAAGGAGGAAGAGGACCATGCTCACTCACATTTCACATTCACTAACTCCACTCGGTAATCTCCTTATGTGTGTGACATGGTTTTATCAGAGGAAGTTGTGGAGGTTGCTGTCAGGGAATTTGATGCCAGTTCCCTTGTCAGAGCCACTTCGGTTTGCTCGCCGTCACTCAGCTCGCTGTGCCCCGAGGGGCCGCTGACAGGCGCGCTTTCTGCAGGCGGAGGGATGGCGATGGCGAACACTTACTCCAGACGCTACACAACCTGCCGCCACACATTAGAAAGGCATTCATGAACGCTCTGCCCATGGCTTGTGGAAGCAGTCTTTGATCAAATAAGCGGCATTGATTTTGCCGAGTCGAGGCCTGGCTGCTGTACGCGTATCGATCGTGTCCTTCTTTGACATGTCAGACAGGGGGTGAGCAGTAATATGAAAAATGGCCACCCTCTCCGGCGGATCACAGCATGCAGGGAACCCTGCCATCATCGCAATGCTTTCTGCCCGGTTGTGTTGCTGTGTTAATGTTAAACTGTGCTGTCTGGAGCAGCAGGCACACACAGCACAAAGTTTCAACTCTTCAGACTTTCTTACAATCTTTTAAGTGGTTGTGAAAAATAGTTTTGGAGTTTCTTTAGTATAAACATTTTACCTCAACATGACGCCATACTGTGCAACAGAAGAGCAAAATGGCCACTTTGAACATTTTTTCTCAAAATTTTGACCTTAATCTTCTGAAATCAAAGGTTTATAGATTCTGAGAATAAAATATTCTAATATCTAAAAATAACATATTAAAGAAACAAAGGTAAGACACCGACCCAGATCCTGTTTAAACTCCAAAGTTTCTTTTTTTTGTTAAAACTCTCCAAGATTAAAATTCAAAGATGCTTCATAGATCCCAAAGGGAAATTAAATATTGTTGTAATTGATTTTGTGATTGTGATTGATTTAATTAAAGAGTTATTGAAGATAATAATGGCTGTAATAAAGGAAAGATCTCCTGTAGAGTCTGAATAACTTTCTAAATCTGTTATTTTTGCTTTAACAAACCATTTCTAAGTCCAAGATGGAGAACCTAACCAAACCTGGAGCAGGAGACCACACTAAAAATGGCCGCCGCTAGCTGACAGAGGCTGTGCTGTCCTCTGTGTCCACATGTCTCTAACCAAAAGGGACGGTTGAAAGAAAACCCCACCTTTGAGGCAATCTAGAAATTCTGCAAGTAAAGAAAATGAAAGGATGTCGGACCCAAAAAGGCCCTTTGTCCCGCCGTATGAAAGCTGGCAGACTCTCTGGTGGTTTACAACCGTACAACTTTAATTTCCCTCCTCCCATCCTAATATCCCCTCTTAGATTAAAATAGGTCATTCAAGTCTAGGAGACTTTCATCTTCACATATGGGAATTAAACAGACATTTGAAGGTTTTTAGAAGTTTTATCAGGTTTTGTTCCAACAGAAAAGTGTTTGTCCTTCTTCTGTGAATACAGCTTAGCTGGGAAGAACTGACATTATTTGGCTCTTACCAAACTTAATTTATTCTCTAGTAAACTGCTTCCACTTTGCTGAACTGATTTTCAAAATCACAAAAACAAGACACACTGTAAAAATACTTTCCAACTTTTGTCTAGGAAAAACTTGGAAACTTCTGAGATCCAGAAATTGCACATTTGCGAGAAAAGAAAACTCAGAAAATTTGAGATTAATCTCAGAAATACTTTAAAAAAAGAAGAAAAAAGATGGACATTTCTGAGATTCATCTCAACATTTCAGTTTTCTTTTCTCGCAAATTTGTGACTTTAAATCTCAGAAATTTCCAAGCCAGATATTTTCTAAAAATAAAAAAGTGGAAATTTCTGAGATCCAAAAGCCACAAATTTGCCAGAAAAAAGGTATAAATTGAGAAATTTAAAATAAGTAATTAAAGAAATAAGTAATAAAAACTGTGGAAATGTTCTGGTCTTACAAAGTTGAATATTTTTGAATTTTGCAAAATTTCAAAGTCTTTCCTAAAAATTATGGAATTATGTCAACTTTTGGAATATTGGAACATTTTTGGAAAATTTCTAAAAGTTGAAAACTGGAAGTAACTTTTCAGCAAGTTACTTTGTTTTAAGTAAAAAAATTACTATTAGTAAGTTTTGACTTTTAAGAAAATGTTGATTTCATCTATAAAATGTGAAAATGTTTTAAGTAATTTAAGCTGCCAATAAAACTAGCACTTTTTCATTGTCAAGATTTTATTTTAACTTAAAACAAGGTTGCTGACAAATTACTTGTAAGTTAGTTTTGTCTTATTTCAAGTGAACTAAGATATTTCCACTAGAAACAAGCAAAAATATTTTTACAATGCATCTCTTTTTCTTCAACAGTGTAATTTTTTACTCCCTGAAAAGGTGAAATTCATGCTTCAGAAATGAAAATCTGCAGAAGTCCAACAGAAAACCGGAAAAAAACCCTTCAGGAAACCTGAGAAAATGCAAACAAGACCAATTTACAAGATAAAACGCTTTGCTTCTCGACAGTAACACAAAAGCAAAGCAGCAGCAGATGCAACTTTTTTCTCGACGCTCTTTGTGTATCAGACTCAAAAACACAAAACCTCAAACAAACCTGGACGTTTGAGAGTAATTCAGCCTTCAGTCTGAATCTCTTGTGGGTCTCTGTGGTTTGCTGTGCCAGTGAAATGAAAGCAGGCCTCTCTAATAACAGCGAATTTAATACCAGTCGCTTAATGAGAGCGCCCCGTGTTTGCTCTAGGCTCATATCCGCAGCAGCAGAGGGAGAGGAAGAGGTGAGGAAAGGATGAAGGAGGGAAATGTAGTTAAAATCCCCCCATTAGTATCACCTCCAGGGCAGGCATGCACGCTCCCCAGGCGGCGGCGGCCTGAACGCAGAGAGCGCGTTGTGGCGAAGGGACGACATGCCCGTCCTCGCCTTCGCACAGCTGGAGTTCCCAGGATGGCAGCATGTGCCACCATTAGCAACAAACAGAAATTGCTGCGGTGCTTATTAGAAAACAGCACGGCGTTTCAGATCAGATGGGAAACATTCTGTTACATTAAAAAAAATAAAATTAAAGAATACGAGGAGCCCTCAGAATGGACAGGAATGACAAATGAACCAGACAAGTAGATCAGTTCAACACTCCTTTATATAATCTGACGGAGGACGAGGAATGAAGGATCAGAAAATACTCATTCTCAGATTATACACACGTCACACAGATTATTAGAAATGTAAAATTTGTCAAAATTGGTTCATTTATTCATCAGCTTAATTTTGTTTGGTCAAGAAGTTATTTTCTCCTGACATTTTCTGGTATATAAGTTATGTTACTGCGCTTAACAGTTGGTGGTTACCGTAGCAACCAGCAACTGACAGCTGCCCCTTCCACCCCCCTTTTTTCTGTTGCCGTCGGTAACTGTAAATAAATAAAAAAAGAGCACATTTCTGCCAAAAACTGATATTTTGAGATTAATCTCAGAAATGTTTGAGATTTTCTCACTTTTCAACTTTTTTTGAGATCAGAGAATTTTCAAGTTATTTCTCAAAATTTTCTGAGATGAATCTC